AAATGTAGATTTTTTTCCCCAATTGTGGACCCAGCTGAAGAAGAGTTATGGATGTCAAAGACCAACAAGGCCTTAATGCTTATTCCCATTTTTTAATATATCATTGGTTTCTCCTCCAAGGTTGAGTGTTTCAGTTTTTTGTGTTTAGTATGACATCTGTTCTGTTTGTGTTCACAATAACAGTGACAACCATGGCATTGTTTCTTCATTAGTAGAATTTTAGTAACTTTTCTCTTTATTCTGTCACCCAGTCACTGCAGCTATATGTGTGGTGCTTTAATTAATTTATGTAAGATAGACCTTTAGTAAATGATGGTATAAGTAGTGAAGAGGTAATTTACCTGCTTTAACATGTGTGGGTGTGGATTTGTATCATTTAAAACAGCTGCTTTCATTATGTTTATATTTTAGTTTCATTTTCATTACTCAGTTTTATTCATATTAGGCTTTGTTCGTTTTTTAGTTTGTATAGCTCTAGTTTATTGTAAGAGTTTCAGTTAATAATCATTAAACAAGTTTAGTACGTTTCAGTGAATACTTGTGCTTCTAGGAAATGAAATGGTAAGATTGAATTATTAAATATTTGATATTTTTGTCTTCTGGAAAATATGTAACTCCTCCCTGGATAGACCTAGAAAAGTTGTTAAAATTGTTGGCAAAGTGTGAAAACCCTGTTTTGGAGGTCTTGAATGTTCTGGTGGATCAGCTTTCTTGGCATTATCAACAGAATGGACTCTTCAGTCATCTGTGGTCTATTTCCTCTGCTGCCAATGCAGCTCCTCCATTATCAGTACTTTTCCAATGGCATGGTATTACAGGTTACCAATATTGTGGTCACTTTTTCCAGATTCTACAACTCTTTGTGTGAATGCCTTCCCTCAAGATCATTCATAATTGTTCCTGTATGTTTGCTTATCCCCAGATGAGGACCATCTCACATGTCATGCTTGGTTCTATTGATGGCCCCTGTTTTAATCAGATTAACTGTAGTTTCCTCTTTTTTGGAATATGCAATTACACTATATATTTCTGCTGCCTAGTTGGAAACAACACCTGCACATTCTCAGAACATCATTGTTTCATCATAATGTGTGAATGATAAATAGTCAATCTCAACATCTCCCTTGGCCATTGATAAACAAGCAGAGTTAATCATCTTGGGCTATGAGAGGGATTGCTGGTTCCATCAAGAAGTCTTTTCTTCAGTGATGCAGACTTCAACAGCTCTATTCTCTGTTACCCCCGTCAGTGATGCAGACTTCAACAGCTCTATTCTCTGTTACCCCTTCAGTGATGCAGACTTCAACAGCTCTATTCTCTGTTACCCCCTTCAGTGATGCAGACTTCAACAGCTCTATTCTCTGTTACCCCCTTCAGTGATGCAGAGTT